ATCCATCTCGGTCTCTTCTTCCTCCTCTTTGTAATAACCTTTTGCATTCTTTCTGGATGATATTCTTGATATTCTCCTACAGCTCATCTGGTCTTTTGCTTATTAGTGTGCAAGGTCCTAACCCTGCTCATAAGATTTCAATGGGAAAGACTCAAGGTCAAATTCAGCTTTAGTTTGACCTCGTGTATGAGTAGTTGGTGGTCTGTTACACAACCAGCACCTGGCCTAGTTTTCACAGGTGATATTGAGCTTCTCCAGGCATTCTTTCCACAGATGTAATCGATCTGATTCTTGTGCATACCATCAGGTGTAATCCATGTATACAGTGACATCCATGTGATGGTCTGCATTTGTTTCTTATAAAAGGTATTTGCAATGAAGAAACCATTGTACAGAATTCTATCATTCTTTTTCCAGCCTCATTTGTCGCCAAGTCTCTGTTTTCTAACTACTGAGCGTTCTTCCATGTTCCCAACTTTTGCATTCCAGTCACCCATTATTATCCAGGCCATAATCTTTACAATTAAGTGCTATATGCATCAGAAAGCTGGATAATGACTAAGGATGCTAGAAGAATTGATGCTTTTGAGCTGTGATGCTGGAGAAGAGTACTAAATATATATATATCATGGACGGCAAGGAGAACAAGCAGGTTTGTCTTGGAGGGGTGAAACCAGGCTGCTCCTTAAAGGCAAGGAATTTTAAGCTTCTTCTGACATACTTTGGGCATGCTGCAAGGAGGGACCAGTCCTTGGAGAAAGACATCATGCTTAAGAGGGGGAAGGGACAGTGCAAGAGAGGAAGACCTTGGATGAGATGGATTGGATCAGTGACTGGGATAATGGGGGCAGGTGTATCAGAGATAATGAGTTTGGCTCAGGGTAGAGCAGAGTTCAGAGATGTTTTATACAGGGTTACTATAAATCACATAACACAACAACAACAACCACCCTATAGGATAGGCAGCTCTGGTGGTTTAACGATAAGGAATTGCACAGTCAATCTAAAGGAACATGGCTATAATCCACCAGTAGCTCCAAGAAAGCAAGATAGGCAATCTCTTTTGTGTGATTTTATAAACTTTACAAGTTTCTAAGTTGGTTCTGATTCAACATCCTGATCTATAGGTAACATCTTGCTGTAAGAAACTGTAATTTTACATAATTTTCTACAGGAAGAAAGGAAGTAACAATTTAATGAACAGGTCAAGGGAATGAATGGCACGAAGATGATTATATTTAAATAATGGACTGTTTACTCCAAACAGGCTACACTCTAGAATTTGCATACAAGGTCGTAAAATTAAGATCTCTGAAAAGGAAGCTAATACACATCATCAAATAAAGAAATCAGCTATAGTTTCTAAAGCCTGTTGCTAATGAGAAAGATTCCTTCAAAATCTCATCAGACACAGAATCTGAGAGAAAGTACATTCTAATTAATCCTATCAATCTGTGACAATGTCAGAATCTACATGGAGATTAAATATAAACCAAAGATAAGAGTCAGTGATTCTCTGCATCTGCCCGGCCCACTCTGGGGGCCCACTTTACATGGAGACATCCAGGTGCAAAGGATGGTGGTGGCTCCTGTACTCTCCACTCCTCTATTCACTTTTGAAAGGGAACAGCATGCTCTGGCCATGCCATGCCATGCCATGCCATTGTTCTCTGCAGTTACAGCTCTGAAACTGGTATTCTTTGGTATATTATGTCTTTGGTGACTTGACAAGCATGTATGAAAAATCTCAAAAACTCTTTTAACATAACCATAAATGAACAAATGAATAAAATATGTAGTTGTTTCTAAAATCACAAACTGAAAACAAAAAACAAGGTGAGCCAGAAGAGGAACACATGATGATAAAGGAGGAACATCTTGGCTTAGGGTCTTAAACTTGAATTGCTAAAGAGTCTAGGCTTCAGATAAAAAAGAAAACTGTGAAGATCAAGTACTGAAATATTCCTATAGTCACTAAATTTACCAAAATGATTTCTTATTGTTGCAGTTAATAATAAGAGACAATAATAGTGGTATTATTGTACTGCAATCCCAGAGGAACACGGTTCGAATCCACCAGACGCTCTGCCGGAAAAGGAGGCGCAATATCCTCCTGTACCAGTCAGATCTGATTTGACGGTACACGCACACAAAATAATAAAAATTAAAAAAAAAAAATAATAATAGTGGTATTATTAAGAAAAAACCTACCCTATGTATGGAGTGTTTGCATTGTGCTAACTGCTTCATAAGCTAGTGTCTCAGAGATGGTGAGGATAGCATAGGGCAGTTTTCAGGCTGGTTGTCCACAGGGTTGCTATGAGTTGTACTCTATTCGACGGCACCTAATGACAACTCAGGCTCATCATTCATTTTCAGTTCGACTAACATATCATGCCAAATGCCTTAAACATTGCTATCTATGTTCCTGAGAAAATCTTGTATTATCATAAAAACAACCTGGCAATTTCTGAAGGCGTTACTTTATATGATCCAATATTAAGTGACTTAAGAAAAAGAAAACCACTCAAAAAAGTTTGTTCACAGTAGTTCAAAGCAGCATTATTTTTACAGTAAAAACATTGAAACAGCCCAAATATCCATCAACTGATGGATAAAATGTGGTATAGTAAAACCTGCAAAAACCGGAACTTGTGTAAGGGGAAACCTTTAAGAGAAGAAACGCCAAATATTTCCCACTAACAGCAACTGAAGAGGGATCAGAGTGCACCCTGCCAAAGGTAGAAAACAATCAAAGAAAAGCAGGAAGCTGAAAAAGCAGGAAACAGAGCTGAAGCATCTTGGAGCATACAATGGAGGGTTGTTGTTATCGTTATGTGCCATCGAGTCGCATCGCGACCCTATGTACAAGAGCCCTAAACACCGTTCTATCCTGTGCCAACCTTGCTATCATAAACACATTCATTCCCACCACTCCACTCACAGAATAGATCCAGCTCATCGAGGGTCTTCCTCTCCTGTGCCGTCCCTCCACTCTGCCAAATATGATGTCCCTCTTCAAGGACCAGTCCCTCCTTGCAACATGCCCAAAGTATGTCAGACGAAGCTTCAGAATTCTTGACTCCAGGGAACATTCTAGCTTCACCCTCTCTAGGACAAACCTGTTTGTTCTCCTAGCAGTCCATGGTATATTCAACACTCTTCTCCAGCACAAGCCGGCAATTAAAAAATGGAATGAAGTACTGATAGGTTTTACAACACAGCTTTTAAAAATATTATGCTAAGTAAATGAAAAGAATCACAAAAGGCTAACTAGATTTCCATTTTTATGAAATATCCAGAATAGTTAGATCCATAGCCAGAAAGAATGGGGCTGGGTGTGTTTCAAGGAAACAGGGAGAGACTTAGAAGGAAGAGAGAGGTGATAAGAATGGGATTAAACAGACAGTAGTGACAACTCTGCAACTACACTTACTGCTGGGAGAGAGACCCATCCAGAGCGGGTTTCAGGGTGGTTAATCACACAGGAGAAAACTGACCATCTTTTCTTCTGCAGAGCAGCTCGTGTGTTCAAAGTGTATAACTTTGGGCTGCCAGTACAAATCCTTACCACTCAGCCCTCAGAGCTCCCTACAGCAAATAGCCTGGAATCTACTGAAGTGGACATGCCAGTTATATGAGCTGAATGGTTTGTGAGCACCAAGCTGTCATGTAATTAAATAAGAAGCCTTTGGTGGGATGTATTGGCTTGTTAACTGAAAGGCTCAAAGTTTGACTCCACTGGCCACTGCAGAGGAGAAAGAGTCTTTTCTCATAAAGACTCACAGCTCTGGAAAACCAGTCATCAGAATCAACATCAACGTCAGAATCAACCTGAAGGCTGTGGGGTTTGCTTTACAGACAGACAAAGAAAGAAATGTTTGCCAAAAGAACAATCAGTGACCAGGAGAAAAAGGGTGAATCCGCTGAGGTAGCAGTATACATTGCAGCAAAAACTAATGAAAATGAACTTGCATAGCTATGCAAAATCATGGGTTCTAAATCTGTTTTTTTAAGAACTACTCAAATCCCCACAACCATCCGATCTTTTATAACAATGGTGTAACACAGTATTTGTCCTTTTGTGACTGAGTTATTTCACTTAGTGTTTGGTAGAAAAAGAAAAGGGAAAACAATTTAATAAACAGAGAAGATGGGAGGAGGAAATAACACTATATGACAAAGGTTTATTTAGTGATTATAATAAGTTAATTGCCTCAATGGTAACAAAAAGAATGACTGTCTGAAAAAACCCAATATGCTGTGTAAACTTTCACTCAAATAAAATATTTTAAAAAATTTTAAAAACCCCAAACTACTCAAGCAAACATCTGCTAGGATTTCACATGACACTGGACCATTAAAACATTTTACCCCTCAAGTTATAGAGCAGAAAAGGGTATCTTAAAAAATGTACACTTACTATATTTTTTCTTTGCCTAAGTGATTCCTGTACTATAACTTCTATTGTATCAGCTAACAAGTTAGCCATATCTATCAAGCAAATTTAATACATTTATTTATTCAATAAATATTAGGGAGCTCTGGTGGCCTAGTGGCACGAAGCTGCGCTGCAATTCCAAAGGCATGCAGTTCGAATCCACCAGATGCTCTGTGGGAGAAAGACAGACAATATTCTCCCATGCGATTTACTGTTCTGAAAACCCACTGGAAGACTTGGCTATGAGCCAGAAGGTCAGCTATGGGTTGATTCCAACTGAAAGGCAACACAACAACAACAACAGCAAAACGTACAGGCACAGGTTAGACATCAACAGTACAAAGATGGCAGAGATATAAGCCCTGCTCTCAAGGAGCTCAAATAACAGTAAGCCAAGAGCACTTAACACTGATAAGTAACATCCCTGACTTTCAAAGCTGCACACAAAATAAGCTCTCAATAATAAAGGTATCTGAATGATTATAATAGAAAACAAACAGAAGGCACCGACCCTTGACCTTTACCTACTGACCTTGAGCCTTAATCCTGAGCAGCCTACCTGTTGACATGCTCCTCCCAGTCCTCTGGTGGGGGAGGGGCATCTGCATCAGTCCTGGCGAAGATGACATGTCGTTCACACTCATTCATCACGCTGCGTGCCTTCTGATTGTCATAGAGTGGCACAGGAGTCGACGTGACCGTCTCCACATCTATAGGGACATCTGATTCACTGCAAACAGGTGAGGAAATTGGACTAGGACATGCGTACTCCATACAACACAGGTGTTCTAACAATCATCTGGTTGCAAAAAAAATATCTTTTTTTAATACAGTCGACTTTACATTTTGTATAAGCATATTATATCCACAAGAGTACGTTTATTCAAAGCCATCTTTACCATATTTGCCTACATCTACACCCTCTGATATGCTGGCATAAGCTGGAGAAATAAAGACACTTAAAAATGCATCTAAGCAAAATACAAGTTTTAGGGTGTCTTTAAAAAATAAAAAAAAAAAAAAAGAATTCCAAAAGCAAATAGGTAGCTGTCTTGACTTGTCTTGTTTAATATAGCAGTTATACATGTACGGCCAAGCACAATCAATAAGAGTGCATCCAAATTCCAAAATCAATCTCCATAATAGTCTATGTGTTTCCTACTGCCAAAGGGGCCCTTTAGAGTAGTGAGAGAAGATCTTCACCCTGAAACCCACAGCGTCCCTTTTCAGCAGGAAGTAGCTAAGAGAATACGCCATCCCCTTTTCCTTATGACTCAGGGTGAAGTCTCTCTCAGGGAGGAGTGATAGGGAATGGCAAAGGACACACTGACAAAGAAGATTAATCAGAACTGGCTTTGACAAGCACTGTGGCATTTGGACGAGAACAAACTGGGAGGAGGGTAGAGAGAATAGTGCAACAATGAATGAATGGAAACCCAAAATCTCTGTAAATGTTTATGAAAATTAATAAAATATAATTATAGAAAAAAAAATAAAAAAAAATATAGCAGTTATAAATGACAAAGTTTAAATTAGTAAAAATGAAATAAAATTTAAAATGCAGTACCTCAGTCACACATCAAATGATCAATACCTGCTCTTGGCTAAAGGCTGCCCTGCTGAAACAAACCCTGAAGAAGTCCATCACTGAGAGAGTTCTGCTGGATATCACTTGCTTAGAGGTGCAGCAGTCATATAGATTTTCCCTTTCACCCATGAGTTAGCTACAAGTTTGCACAGCTCTCTACAATCACAAGTAATCCAAATACTTGAGCTACTTATTTTGTAAGCAGCCTAGACAAAAAACACGTATAAATAAGCATTTGATTTAAAAGGTAGTTAATGAAATCCTAGCGCCGTGAGGGTCTTTGGTACAAGTGTCATGGTACATTCCACCAACTTTACAGCAATGCTCTTCAAAAAACTACTCCAAACTTGTTGTCTAAACAACATTTTAACTTTTTGACCTTGATAATCTTATTGTAACCATTCCCAATGACTAGAATAAATACATCATTGTGAAATTATACCCAACTTGATTTAGTAGCAGACAAAAGAGCTGATTATCTGCTCTGTGCCAGGCCCTGGGCAAAGCACTTTGAAATGTGTGTCTAAAAAAGAACTCTTGATTTTATCATCCCAAACCTATCCTCCCTCAAATTCTTCCAACTCATGATACCAATAAAGGCTGGTCATGCCAGAAGCCTGAGTCACTCTCATCTCTCTGACCACTCCTAATTCATTACAGAAGGTCCTGTTGGCTCTACCTAGGAAACCTATCCCAAAGCCATTCATTCATTTCTCTCCAGCTGCCTTGCTTCCACCTCACACTCTGACCTGGGCTACTGTAACAGCCTCCTAGCTGGTCTTCCAAAGTTTATTCCTGCACTCCTAGAATCTGTTGTTGTTGCTGTTATGTGCCATAGAGTCGCTTGCGACTTATAGAGACCCTATGTACAACAGCCCTAGACTCTGCTCTGTCCTGCCTCCCTCTCCTGTGCTGTCCCTCCACCCTCCCAAGCATGATATCCCTCTCCAAGGACCACTCCCTCCTTACAACAAATCCAAAGTATGTCAGATGAAGCCTCAGAATCCTTGCCTCCAAGGAGCAGCCTGGTTTAACCCTCTCCAGGATGAATCTGTTTGTTTTCTTAGCACTCCATGGTACATTCAGTACTCTTCTCCAGCACCACAGCTCAAAGACAGCAATTCTCCTTCTATCCTCCCTAGTCATTGTCCAACTCTCTGACACCTAACAAGTGATTGCAAAGACCATGGCCTGTATCAGACGCACTCCAGAGAGACACCACTGCTCTTCAGTACTTTGGAGAGGTTCCTAACAGCAGACTTTCCCATCACAATACTTCTTTAATTTCTTGGCTGCTGGTGCCAAGAGTGTTGACTGTGGAGCCAAGCAAACTAAAGCTGTGAACAATCTCAATCTCTTCACCATCCATCCTGATGCTTCCAATTGGTCCAGTGGTGACCTAGCATCTAGTGAACAAAAATCTCAACTGGTCTTTAAAAAAAAAATCTCTTAATTCAAGTTAAAAATACTTCAACCTCTTATCACTCTTAGCTTGAAATTCCTACATAGGGTGGCTCTATCAACTTCGTCCCATTCTTGCAATGTAAATGTAAACTTATTAAACACGAGATATATTAATGTATGTTTAAATACTTCTTGTTTTCGTGTTGTCCAGTCAGAACCAACTCCTCGCTGCCTCTCCAGTGGGTTTTCCAACAAACAGGAAACTCCCTATCTTTCTTCCACAGAGCAGCTGGTAGATTCAAACTGTATGCTTTGGGGTGGCAGTGCAATTCCTTACCACTAGGCCACCAGAGTGCCCTGTAAATACATGGAAAACAGTGATTTTTATTTCCCAGTGAGGTCCTCTTCATAGTGATCCTTGACTGTACACAGCACTGCAACATGGGAAACTATCATTTTAGGAAATAAAAGTAGTATGATCATGAAGGATGTTAGCTAAGAAATGCCTTCAAACAGAATTTGAAATCTCTTTCTCTTAGGGGTGATCTATTGCATTGTTCTTGCTAATATCCAAGTTTCTATGTCTATACTTCATGGTATTTTTAAAAAGTGAGAGTCTATTAACTTGGCATTTCAGTATTTGGAAATATCTCTCTTTTTTGAAAATAAGCTCTGAGTATATGCCCTGAAAGTGGCACATGACTTGTTCCTGGAACTGCTGAAGGCCCTGCAGGTAGAACATGGTTGTAATGGGGTGTAAATGAGGTAGGGAGTAAGCTGGCAGAGATATGTCACATAGGAATTTCATTTTAAGAGTGGTTAAGAGGTCACTGAAGTATTTTAAACTACAGATAAGAGTTATACGTTATACTTTTTAAAAGACCACTCTGGGTGTTTATAGATGAACAGATTATGAGAGTGCAGGATGCTGCTACAGCAGTCCTGACTAAAGCAGAATATACAGTCTTCAGCCTCCAACAAGCCAAAAAAACCCTTGGACTGAGGAAAGTTCGAACACTGCGTCAATTTCTTCTTTTTTATTGTAACTCTTCCCCCAAGTTTATAAATTATTAAGGGCATGATTAAGTTGGCAAATAATTTCAAAACACAAGAAGTTAGAAATGCTTGAAGCTTAAATAATTTGCCAACCAAGTTTATTTGAGCCAATTGTAATAACATCACATGTTAGTTTAAAAAAGAGGAAAACTCCTTTGTCTGTAATGCAGGCCAACAGAAAACATAAACAGACCTAAGAAGGGTTTAGATTAATCCGGGGGGTGGGGGGGGGGTTTTTATAATTGGCTACCAAGAAAAAGCAAGCTCTAGTGGCCTAACAGTAAGGAGTTGTGCTGCCAACTCAAAAGCAAGCAGTTTGAACCCACCAGCTGCTCTAAAAGAGAAAGATGGGTAAGTAATCTCCTCTCCAGGGATTTAGTGTCTGAAAACCCATGGATCAGTTGAGTCAGTTCTGACAGCACATACCAACAAGAAAAGAAAAGGCAGAATCTTGAGATTTAGCACCTAATATTTTGTACATAAAGCCAGGAAAAACAAAATGCATTATCATAAAAAAGCTGTTGGTGGTAAACAACAAAGTGGAACATTTAAAAGGCTAGGGTCTAATCTTGTGTGGCAATTAAAAAGCATTAACTCAGTTTCACCTTCACCAGATATTCACCAGATAAGGAATCCTCTTTAATGTCTCTCATCCATAATGTCCCATTAACCAAATGAAGTTACTTTTTTTCTGTCTTCCTCTATCCTCTCTTTAGGCACACCTCCTAAGGGAGCTCTGGTGGCCTACTGGCAGGAAGTTGAACTGCAATCCAGAGGTGAGCGGTTCAAATCCACCAGATGCTCTGCTGGAGGAGAGAAAATCTCCTCCTGTACCTGTCAGATCTAATTTGACCGTACACACAGAAAAAAAAAAAAAAAAAGGCACACTCCTAGGGAAGCTCTTGGGAGAAAGGTGGGAAATTTCCTTAGCTATTCAGTGCCCTATGAAAACCTGCTGCGGGGTCAGCTGGGAGATGGTTAGGACTTGTGGGTACACAAGGATGGCGGAGATACGAGTAATCACAAGGGTTATACACAAATGCCCATATTCAGGCCTTAAACCTTTATACTGACTAACAGAGGTGGGTGAAGGAACCATCTCTTCACATCATCCCCAAGGAAATCCTGTGCAATCCCCACCCTTTAAGGCACCTGTAGCCCTCAGGGGAGAGTCTCAAACTCACATGGTACTTTCGTGCTGCCTCCGGGGTGTGACGAAGAGCATGCGGGTGGGGCGGGCACTACTGGCATCTGGGTGGGCACTCCACGGCTTGGCATAGCTGTGATCCAGAAACACCAGGTCCAGCTCCCTTTCGTGCACGGAGAGCTGGAAGAGCAGAGAGGTGCCCATGCGCCGCGCGGAGGTCTGGAAGTCCCTGTCCCCAGCGCGGTGGGCCATGGCGGAGGGGCCTAGCTCGAGCGCGGGCAGCCGCCCAAGTCACCTGCAGGGACAAGCTGCTGTGTGAGCCACGCACACGGTCTCCGCTGCCCATCCCCGGGGGGGCCTCGCCTACTCCTTCCTCGAACATCGGTCCTTCCCGTGCCCGCCTTGGGGACGGCTCCTGGCACCTCCAACCACCGCCCAAAGGTTTGGCGCCAGAACTCCTCCCAGCCCCATTCCCTACCAAATCTCCTAGCTGGAAAGCTGCGTAACTCCACGGCTGGCAAAGGCCTACACTGGCCCACGCAGCATCTGCCTCCGTGGGTGGAAACAAAAGAGGTCACGGTTAAGAAATCCGGACAAGCTCAGGGCCAGTGGCTAATCCACTGTAAGTAAGAGCCCCGCGCGCGCTGCTGCGTTCTCGTAACCAAAGTTCTGGGGGTAAAATATGGAAACGACGGCTCCTCCCAAAAGCCTGTAGCAAGCCGAAATTCCAAGAGGACCTTGTCTGCAGGATCGTAGTCGGTAACCGCTGAACCCGAATGGGGTCCCAATGGAAGTGAAGGGCTTGTAACAGAGCTCGCTCGCACTTTACAGACCAAGGCGCCGGCTGTGGGGCCGAACGGACTTAGCCACGATCACCGCGAGTCCGGGCCGAGGAGGAGCCGCCGGGCACCCGCCTCTTGGTCCGCCAGGCTCCGCGCCCGCATCACTGCGGGCCGAACGCGGCCTCCAGCCCCACAGCCGTCCGCTCTCGGCCGCTGTGGCGCCGGTTCCAACCCCCGGCCCCTGCTCGGCGTCTGGCATGACCCGAGAGGCCCCCGCCCGCCCGAATTCCGGCCGTGAAACGACCGTGAAACCCGGGTAGAGCCTCCCGCGCAGGGTCCGACCTCTCTCACTAGCGATCCTCCGGACACGCGCACGGGCCCGGGCCGACCGCAGCGCGCGTGCGCGGTACCGCCTCCACGCACCGACACTCCGGAACACGGGGTAAAATACGGAAGTGGATCGCTTCCTGGGAAGGGAGAAGCGGCAAGCGGGAAAACCCGGAAAGCAGGTTGTTCTGGCTACACAAGCACTTAAAAGGGAGCAGGGATATGCGATTCTCAAGAGAGGAAACGAACGCCAAGACGAGAGGGCGTGAATTTTTAACAAAGAAAAACGACGACAAATGGAGAATATGATTCCTGCAGCCCTAGTTCTTGCTTGCCTCACCTCAATTTGGTCCTCTATCCAGTGCTTTTGACTGTGTGGATCACAACAAGATGTGGCTGACTCTGAGAAGAATGGGAATCCCAGAACATTTGATTGTGCTTAAGTGAAACCTATACTTGGACCGAGAGGCAGTCTTCAGAACAGAGCAGGGAAGGAGGTCCCCCAGGGATGTGTCTTATCTCCATATCTTTTCAGTCTGGATGCAGAACAGATCATCCAGGACGCTGGGCTGTATGAGGAGGAATGTGGCATAAGGATTGGAGGAAGATTCATCAACAACCTGCGTCATGCAGATGACACAACCCTGCTTGCTGAAACTGAGGAGGATCCGAAGTGCTTGCTGCAAAAGGTGAAGGACTGCAGCCTTCAATATGGATTGAAGCTCAACGTCAAGAAAACAAAGATTCTCAGCAGCACCAGTATGGATGGTAAAGAGATTGAGATAGTTAACAGTTTTAGTTTACTTGGTTCCACAGTCAACAATCTTGGTACCAGCAGCCAGGAAATCAAGAAACATTCGGGAAAGTCAGCTGTGAGGGACCTCTCAAGAATACTGAAGAGCAACGATGTCAGGCTGGAGACTAGGGTGCACCTGATCTGGACCATAGTCTTTGCAATTGCATGCAATGCATTGGAGAACTGGACAGTGACTAGGGATGGTAGAAAGAGAATTGATGCCTTCAAGGTATGGTCCTGGAGAAGAGTGTTAAATATACCATGGACTGCTAGGAGAACAAAACAGGTTTGTCCTGAGGAGGGTGAAACCAGGCTGCTCCTTGGAGGCAAGGATTCTGAAGTTTTGTCTGATATACTTTGAGCATGTTTCAAGGAGGGACCATTCCTTGGAGAGGGAACATCATGTTTTGGAGAGTAGAGGGACAGCGCAAGAGAGGAAGACCCTCAATGAGATAGATTGATTCAGTGATTGGACTGATGGGAATAGATGTGTCAGAAACAGTGAGGTTGGCACAGGATAGAGCAGGGTTTAGGGGTCTTGTACATTGGATCACTATGAGTCACATGTGACTCAACAACACATAACAACAACAACAATCCGTGCTTGGCCTCCTGAGGTAGGACTGGCGGATAGGGCGAGATCACTCACTTGCACTGGTATCCTCTAATTTACGTAGAGTATCATTCTAGTAGGGTTACTGGGGAGGGGCCTAAGATAGGTGAGTAGAAAATTAATTCTTAGATTGCTCTTGTTTTTGTAGGAACCATTGACTCCACTACAATTCATAGCAATCCTGTGAGCAACAGATCCTGCCACATCCTCATCATCTTTGCCATTGTCCAGCCTGTCACTGTTGTCACCATGTAAATCCATTTTGAAGGTCTTCTTCCCTGGTCATCCACTTTTCGCAGCATGAAGTCTTTTCCAAGGAATGGCTTCTTACAATATGCCCTAAGTATGAGAGACAAAGTTTCACTATCCTTGCCTCTAAGGCAGTACTCCGGTGGCACTTCCTGCAAAACAGAATTGTTTGTTCTTTTGGCAGTCCATGGATAATCACTACTTGTCTCCAACAACACAGTTCAAATGCATTGATCTCTCTGTCATCCCTATTTATTGTCCAACTTGAAGAAGTATAGGAAGTAATTGAAGAGACTATCCTAAGTAGGACCGACTGTATCTTAGTCTTTAATCTGACATCCTCCAACAACAAAGAGGCCCCGGGCAGGGAAAAGGGGTTGAGGCCGGTCTTGACCTGTTACAATGAAGACTGACTTGCTATGTGGGATTACACCAGAAGCTTGCAGTGGAGTAATGGTAAGGAAATCAAGCAACCTTAAATATCTCAGCTGTATAGGAGCATATTCTATTGCAGAAGACCTTCCTGTGAAGATCACATATTGGACATTGAACTAATACTTGGACTTTGATATGAATTTCTTTAACAATTTTTTCTGCAGTGCAAGTTATTAAACTAAAGCTACTCTGTTTTAAAAAAAAAAATCTGACATCCTTGCTATTTAGCACTTTCGAGAATGGCGTACCACATTAACTACTGTGACACAAATGATAGCACTGCTGATGCCAGATGGATCTTGGCTGAAAGCAATAAATATCAGAAAGATGTTTGCTTCTGTTTTGTTTACTCTGCAAAGGTGTTTGTGAGGATTATTTTTTAAAAAAAAGGATGGATAACACTGAGAAGAATGGGAATCTGAGAACACCCAACTGTGTTCATGCAAAATCTATACCTTTACCAAGAAGCAGTTGTTGGAACAAAACAAGGGACCACTGAATGGTTTAAAATCAGGAAAGATATGTGTCAGGGTTGTATTGTTTCAGTCTCTATACCGAGCAAAGCATTTGAGAAGCTGGACTACATGACAAAGAATATGGTATTATGATTGAAGGAAGAGTCATCAACAATCTGTATTATGCAGATGACATAGGATACAATAGTGTATATCCTAAATAATGTATTTAATAACCAGAACATATAAAGAATTCTTATAACTCAACAAAAAAGACAAAGCAAGTACAAAATAGTCAAAGGATTTAAATAGACATTTAGCCAAAGGAGGCATACAAATGGTCAACAAACACAAGAAAATGTGCCAAGTAACAGTCATTGTTGAGTGCCATGGAGCTGACTCATCATGACCCTCATGTGACAGAGTGGAAACAGCCCCTACAATTTTCTTGTTTATAATCTCCATAGAGGCAGATAAGCCTGTCTTTCTCTCACTGACCGGTTCAAACCACAAACTTCTCAGCTAACAGCTAAGTGATTAATCATCATTAATCATTGTGTTCTTAGGTAAAACAATTCAACTCAGCTTACTGTCATCAAGTTGGGAATGACCCTCCATCAGATTTTCAGGAGGCTGTAAATTACACAGGAGGAGATTACCCATTTTCCTCCCACAGAGCCTTTGGTTGAATCTTAACTACAAAGAAAGGCAGTATCTTTTCAGTTGTTGTTATGTGCCATTGAGTCGCTTGTGACTCATAGCCACCCTATGTACAAGAGCTCTAAATGCAGTTCTATCCTGTGCCAACCTAGCCATCTCAAACAGACTTATTCCCACCTCTCCAGTCACAGAATCGATCCATCTCATCAAAGGTCTTCCTCTCCTTCACCACCCCTCCACTCTGCCAAACATGATGTCCCTCTCCAAGAGAGACACCTCGTTAAAACATGCCCAAAGTATGTCAGACGAAGCTTCAGAATCCTTGACTCCAGGGAACACTATGGTTTCACCCTCTCCAGGACGAACCTGTTTGTTCTCCTAGCAGTCCATGGTATATTCAACACTATTCTTCAGCACCACAGCTCAAAGGCATAAATTCTCTTCCTATCATCCCTATTCACTGTCCAACTCTCTGATGCGTAACACATAATTACGAAGACTATAGCCTGGATCAGGCACACCTTAGTCTCCAGCCTGACATCGTTGCTCTTCAGTACTCTTGAGAGATCCCTCACAGCTGACTTTCCCAATGCAATTTGTCTCTTGATTTCCTGGCTGCTGTTACCAAGAGTGTTGACTGTGGAGCAAAGCAAACGAAAACTGTTAACTATCTCAGTCTGTTCACCATCCATACTGATGCTGCCAATTGGCCCAGTGGTGAGAATCTTTGCTTTCTTGATGTTGAGCTTCAATCCACACTGACGAATGCAGTCCTTGACCTTCTGCAGTCCTTAACCTTCTGCAGCAAGAGCTTCAGATCCTCCTCAATTTCAGCAAGCAGGGTTGTGTCATCTGCATAACGCAGGTTGTTGATGATTCTTTCACCAATCCTGATGCCACATTCCTCCTCGTACAGCCCAGCGTCTTGGATGATC